AAAGTTACTTTTTAAATCATAAATAATTTAAAAATTAAATTATGTGTAATAATTGCTAATTACTAATTAATTTATTACAGATACAAATCAAAGCAATTAGTTAGCTTGCAGATTGGTTGTTTTTTATGATTCCAAAAGAACTAAAAAATATTAATTGTCTAAAAATATTTTTGTAATTTTTCAGCTCTTATTTGAAAAGTAAATATCTGTTTAATTTAGAAAATAGATTCCAATCCATTGGTTCATTTTCTATAAAAATTGTTCTCTAATTATTTTCCAAAAATTTGCACAAATATAGTAGAAATTTAGTAAGCAATCAGAAGCAATTTTGGCACGGCTTTTTCATGTGTTACATATTTAATCACTTAGCTATAAGCCATCGACAGTAATGTTAAAGTGCTTACATTTTTGGTGTGCACACTTAGCGCCTCAAGCAAAAGTCGTACATTTTCATCACTCGGCTATGAACCGAGAACCGAGAACATAAACATAGCCACAGTCAGAGTCTCAGAGTCAGGGCTCCAGCCACAGACATAGACATAGACCCTGAGCGAGGTCCAAAAGGTTCCATGAGGAGGCTGTCGTCATAGTCTGGCTTTAACTTTTATGGTCTGGCTGTCAGTCTGGCTGGCTGTCTTTCCGGCTCTATCTCCCTCTCTCTCTCGCTGATGCATTTTTCATGACCAGTTTGTACGATTTCCGCACCGCAATGCGCATTTTCATGTAATTCAATTCGGGTCTTTTCGGTTTTTTTTTTTTGTAGGCGCATTGAACTGGCAATTTTACAATTCTATTGGTGTGAGTGTTGGGAGCAGGGCCCACCGCTGCGCCAACGTTAACATGGCCTAATGAAATACGACATTTGACTCGTGCGACCAAATATTTATGGGCGTGTGGCTTGCTCTTGGCCACAAGCTGCTCACAACTGGAGCAGCGGGATGTGTGTGAGACAGGCGTTGAGATCTGCCCAGTTTAACGATGAAGCACTTAAATTATATATACATACATATATAAATATATAAATACAAACATGGCCAGCTCAATTGTGGCATAGAGATCGGTGCCATCAAAGCCTTTAACCAGGCAGCCAGCCAGCAATCGGCGCGTGCTGCCTGAGTTCCGCTCGCTTCCTGAGTGACACAAAGGCAGACAACTGGCGACAATGTCTGCCCACTCCTAGCCAGATCCACACTTACTCCTAGTTAATATGCACAGTGTTGACTCAATAACTGATAGCCCCGACTTGGAAGACGTGCTTGACTCACCACGTCGCAATGTTTTCGCTGCGCCACGCGACTAGTTCAAAGGGCGACCGATCGATTTGTATGTGATTTGTTTCACTAAATGACTCATCATTTGTTTTACAGAAATGCCCAAAAAAAAAACTAGTCGACTTGGAATTTAAACATTTGTACATTTTGAGCCAAGCATCTCTGTAGTTGCAGAAGTTTTTGGCTAAGAAAATGTTTCATCTAATTCGTTATGCTTAAAAATATAAAAAAAAAGTATTTATTGGTTTATAATTACTTGAGGGCAGCTTAAATATTTAACTCATATAGCCTAAATCTAAATTGTGTGTAATTTATAGTTTCGAGTTAATTTTTAAAGAATAATAAAATTTAGTTGTTGAAATCAAAGTCTAATTAATGTGTTATATATAATTACTCGAGGGCAGCTTAATCCTTAACTCATATAGCCTTAATATAAGTTGTGTGTAATTTATAGTTCCGAGTTAATTTCAGTTTTTTTAGTTGTTGAAATCTAACTCTAATTAATATATATGTATATAATGTGATTAAAAAATCGATTGGTAAAGCGCAATTAGCGAAATTGTTTATCATCAGCTCTGACCTTAAAATACACAAATTACGAAAACTATTATTTAGGCATTTATTTCTAATAATATGCGTGATTTATGAAATATTGTTTTATCAATATATTTTTATCAACTGTTTCGTCTTTAAAATACCCTAAGAAGGATCCAAAATATTATTTGAGCATTTATGTTCAAAAACATATTTTATTAACTTTATCCTACATGAATAATAAATAAAATATTTAAAATAAATATCCCTTCAAACTTTTAAGCTCCTTTTTGCAGATGCTAACAGGCAACCTGCAAGATATCTCAAATTGTTAGTAAATCCCTTGATAGTTAGTAAATTCCTTTAGTGAATCTGGTAAAATTTCAATTGTTCTACATTCAATCACATTCATCCATCCTGTAGCCAATTAAAGGTTTCATTTGTATTCAATCGATTGCTTCTTGCTATCTTACACCTAAATGCGTTCGAAAATCGATTGATTTGGCTAATTGAATATGCATTGCATATAGCGTCGTCCAAATGCACGATTTGTTTATGTACCATTTGTAAAATGCTAATTTGCAGTCGGGCATTTCATGAAAGTCCAACATTAACCATTAAACTGACTGATAGCTGAAATTCTAAGTCATCAAATAAAAGACACGAGTCCTGTTTTCGAGTCATTGACTGGACTTTTATGTTTCTTAAAATGTGCGGATCGATGTCGTGCCTCCTCCAATGGGTCAGGCCTATAAATTATGCAGCAATTCACTTAAATATTCATTGGAGCCAATACATACATTTTTATGTTTCCTAAAACTATATAACGATTTTAATTTAAATACAGAAAATATAAATCGAGATACATTTTTAACGTAAAATATTAAAAGAGCTCAATTGTATTTAATTTAATGTATGAATCTGAACAAAATACATTATACATTATACTAATAGTCCGCACTAAATTAATTAAAACATACTTAAGTACTATATACGGATATAAAAAAATATGACTATTTTGGGAAACTTTAAAGCATAATGCTAATCACTGAATAAATTGGTCGTAAAACCCAATTCGAATCCGCAACTAATAAATAAGGTATTTTAATTTTATTACGGGTATACTTGATGTGTATTGTTGATCATTATTAATTAATGGCTATCTATCAAGGTCAAATAAATCTTCACAACTCACCATTATTATTTTTTATTTACATACATGTATAGCAAAATTATACAGTCGTATGTAAATTTCAGTAGACATTCACAGCTTCCAGCGCCATTTTAATTAACTTATTAAGCACAATTAAAATGCTAATACGATAACTCACACAAATACACATGCACACGAGCGACTGCGTTGCCCTATTGGCTCACACACACACACACACACAAGTTGGCTGTCTATTGTGGTGGAAAGCGAAAACAATGCAAAAGCAATACAACAAAACTGTAAATAGTTTTTTAACGGAGCTCAGCGAATGCTGACCAATCAGACAGCCGCATTAAGACAACACACACGAGCACACATACATGCGCAGACACACACACACACACAGTAAGAGACTGGGCTTGAGCAGAGTTGCCAGCTCATCTGAATGTTAAGCTTCATGTATTGGTTGGGCAACGCAATACGATAAATAATATACGAATTGCGCCTTGTAGAAATAAATATTGATTTTACCAAGTGATTCGTTTAAACAAACACTTCATGTTTAAATTCTTGGCATTCATTAGTCAGCGGCTCAATAAATGCGAACTTAATTGATCTATGGCTAATTTGAATAGATTGTCAGTTAATGAGTTACGAGAGCCGGCAACAATACACACACAGATGTGTGTGTGTGTGTGTGTGTGTGTGTGTGTGTGAAAAGGGGCGTTAACAAAATGCTCGGTTCCCTGTTTGTATTGGTCAGTTAGCTGTGTGTGTGTGTCTGTGCTATTGAGTACCTGAGCAAGATTCGATGTATACACTGCCACAAAAAATGTAATTACAAATGAAATGTAAGCAAATGATCAACAACAAAATGAATAATTTATATTATATATATATTTACTGTAATTTACATACAAATTTAATTGAATTTATCTTTTATTTGTCAGTATTCAGCTGCAGTCCACTCTAAATCATACTTGATAACTGATGTATTTCATATTCTTACAAATGACGCCTATTCTCTCTGCCTCTTTATTTTTTAATATGCACATTTTCGCTCTTTGAGACACTTTCTAAGTTGTACAGTTGGTATTTTTCTTCAAATATTCACATATCTGATCATGTGTATATTAATTAGCACCTTTAAAACATCTGCAATAAAGTTGATGTCTTGCAACTTTCCGCTGGACAAGAACAATTTCTGTCAGTGCACGATCGTCGATCGCATTGGGTGAGAGACACCAATACCAGCACACCAGACAACTGTCTCAGCTTGTGGATGTGTGTGAGCTCTTAAGCTGAAACTGAACGAAAGCTGCCTTACCTGTTTGGAAATCAAGTTTGTTGCTTCTGTGTCGCTTCGGTGATCCGCACAGAAAGGTGCACGCGCGCATTCTACACGGTTGGCTACACGGATCGTTTTGTTGGACGAGCTGCACGGATTTTGTTTTGATAGCCAGTAAGGCACGAAGCGGAGACGACGACTTAAAGCCGTCGGAAGTTCAAAGTTATCGTCATCGAAATCGTAATCGGCGGGGCGGTTGTTCGGTCTTATTATTGTTTGATTCTTGAGTTCTACAAAACTAAGTGCTAAAGTTCACAAAATGAATCTCATCAGAGATACATATTCGCATTAGATTCGCAAATGATTATGTAAGGCACATCGCCGCTGTAACAAACCCCATAAATCTTGTCGGGCTTCTGATATAATCAAAGTGTTGTGAAGGCCCATGAATATGCAATGATCGAAATGATTTAAAACAAAAAGAAAATCTATATATATATATATATTTATATATTTATATAATTGATTTATATATATATGTAAAAATTATAAAAAGCAAATAATGTTTTATTGTGCAAAACAAACCATTTGAGAGTTGAGATATTTATGCAAAATATTTCAATTGTAATTGAAATATAAATTGTTTAATTTAGCATTAAGCAAGCATTCGCTTGGCATTGCCATCAAGTGCCCCAAACATTGTGCAAAACAAAATAATATCAAAAGATTTATAAATTATAATTTATGCAATAACAACAAAAGCCAGCCAGCATTAGGCAAATACGTTTTTATGCACATATATTTTATACGCTGTGTACTCTGTGGCTGCCTGTACCTGCTATACCCAATGGATATCGCAAATTAAATCTTTCGAGAAAAGGTAAGACCCCCAAGGCCCCAGTTAAAGCTCGCACCCGCACCCGAACGCACAATAAACGAAAACGCGATTTACCAATTTCATTATTAACTTTGATAGAAATCAAATAACAAAATACTTAAAAAGCCAGCCAACAGTTGCGCACAATCACAGAGCAAATGTAGCCACAACAAAAGTAAACACATATAAGACACACACACACACACACACAAACACACACACACACACAGATTGACTGACAAACGGACAAATGTATCTCGGGGTTCTTCATTTCATTCAATGACTTTTTGGTGGTCCCTATTCAAACAACTCCAAACAAATCAAGCACCACCTCGATGGCACTCCAAACGTCAACTCGAACAAATTTTTTTCTACTCTGATAAGTTCACTTGACAATGAGTTGCAACTAAGCCAGGCCAACCAGTCAAAGCCATATCCACAGACAGAGTTACAGTCAACCAAAGCCGGGCCCAAAACAAAATAATAATATGAAAAAAAAAAGGAGAAGATGGCCGCAGCCGGTAGTGAATATTGAAGTATAAAATTGAAATTCATTTACAAAACTAATTTCAATTGTTGCATTTTAAAGAATATTTGTATGTACGAGTATTTCAAGGTTTCTTCTTGGCGCCAGCTAAAGTGCTATCCAAAATGTTCACATGCATAATGACATGGAAAGTGATAGTTGTGGCAAGGAAAAGTTGAATTATTATCAACAATATGCATGAGGGTAAACAAACAGACAACAAAGTGTGGGTAGAGAAAGGTTTTTAATATAATTATTTAATATCTTATTTAAGACTGTGCTTCTCATTATTTCTTATTTTGCTATTCAATTGACTTTAATTGTTAAAATATTCGCTGAAGCTTTTTAATTAAAATGTCAAAAAATAAATGCTCAAAAGCCAGCATCCCATTTTGATACACGAACAATAATAATCATTGAACATTTTTCATTCAATTATAATACATAATGAAAAAGATTGTATCTTCTTGAATACTAAGAACTGCCAATATTTATTTGGCACTTCTAATGCAGATAATGGCATACATAAAGCTGTCAATTCTGAACCGCATAAACAACATTTTCGCCATTTATTCTTATCCACATAAAAACTGACAAATATTCCATTAATTTTCAGAAACAAAACATTATTTAAATTTAAGTGCGTCACCAAGTTGAGCCATGTCTGGTTTTTGTGTAGGCTCTTCGACTTAACATAACAAGTCTAGAATGCTGAGTTCGAGTTGGAGACAGGCCTAATAGTGAACTCTTTCGAGGCTTATGACTTATGGTGACTCATTTGCCACGAATTAAATACAAATTAATCGAAGGCAATGTGAACTGTTTTGAACCTGAGGAAACCCTTTTGGGTGCTTAGTATCACTCCTGTTGCCGGATTTCATTAACCTCGGCGTCAACTCAACCAACTCCATGTCGAATCACATGCCATAAATCATTTTCCTTATGCAATCCAGCAATCCAGCAATCCAGCAAAGAGCTGAGAAACTGCCAACTCATCAAAACGCAGCACATGATACGATAGATAGTCAGAAAAGAGTACTTAATAGACACACACATACTATATGTACACACACACACATATATATCCAATGCCACTGAGCGATTTCAACGGCTCAATTGTTGACCGAGCAATAACAATGCAAATCAATTCTTTAGATGGCTCGCCCTCAAAATATGCTCTTTTATGCGGCCAACAATGCCACAAACAAAACTGAACCAATTTCCAGAGTGCGTATGTGAGTGTGTATGTCTGGCATATTGGTGTGTGCGGGTTCCAATAATCAGCAATTGTTGTTTCATTTCATTAGCAATGAAAAAAGTCTGCAGACTTTCATTAAGATTCACATATTGATTGATGTTATTATTGATAGATATAATAATTGACAAACACGCTCGATCGTTTAATTTTAGGAACTGCACAAATATTTGCAAACGTGACAGCCACGAAATGTATGCGGACAAACGTGGCTTAGAGAAGCCAGGCTCAGCGCTGTCAGCGGCAGCAGCAGCAGCAGCAGCGGCGGCGGCAGCGGCCGCAGCAGCCGTGGCAGTCACGCATTTGGCCACGCCCACTCATGCGCATGCCCTACAGCAGCAACAACAGCAGCAGCAACAGCAACAGCAGCAGCATCATCATGTGCTGCAGCTACAACACCAGCAGCAGCAACAACAACAACAACAGCAGCAGCAGCAGCAGCAGCAACAACAACACTTGCAGCACCAGCAACTTCACATGCAACAACATATGCACACGCATCATAACTTTCAACAACAACAACAACAGCAACAACAACATGAGCCAGCCACATTGTCACAACAGCAACACTTGCAGCAACAGCAGCAACAGCAGCAGCAGCAACAACAACAGGCCGCACAGCAGCAGCAACAGGCGAGTCAGCAACAGCAGCAACAGGCAGCCGGCATGTTTACAAGGTAAGTCTTAGCGCCAAGTTTATCCCCCCCCCCCAACCCCCCCATTCCTTGAGGAACCCACAGCTTCAATTTCGAGCTTATCGTCTGCACATCTCGTTAGCTTTGAGGGCCAACAAATCAGCGGCAGCAACGCATCAAAAATGCGCAACATGCAAACTTTTAATTTCAATTTGTTTCGCACGCTTCGATATTTGTCAATACAATTTGAAATAAGATCGTGTGTGTGTGTCTCTGTGTGTGTGTGTGTGTGTGTAGGGGGTGTGTGTGTGTAGGGGGTGTGTGTGTGTGTATGAAGTGTTCTAGAAACTGCAAAGCATGCCTTTTTTATTCTCGCGCTGCTTTCAATTTCTTTAGCTGGGATTTTATTTTTATTTTTGTAAGCAGTGGTGCTGCTGCTGCCGGGTTTTAATGGCCTCTTGTATTGGCAACTTGTAGTTCACATTTATCTGGCACTCGTAATCTGCTCAGCTCGAACCCCGGTATCCACATGGCAAATCCCGTGCGTACCCAGCACCAGCACCAGCAGCATCAGCATCAGCGCCAACGCCGTTCTGTCGATTCTCGCAAAAATTCACAACAGCGAAAAAAAAACCAAAGCAAAGCAAAGCAAAACAAACAAACAGCAACAAAAAAAACAACAAAAAAACAGAAAAAACTTACAAAATTCACTCGTTCGCCTCCTTCGCGGCTGCTGTGCCATTTTATTTAGCTCCAATTAATTAGTGCTTCAAATGTTTTGCCATAAGTTAAACCCGCACAGTGCGATTGACATTACCACGTTGCCAATCGGACCAACTCCACGTCCACGTCCACGTCCAAATCCAAGCCCAAAACCAAGACAACGACGACGTCGCAACGTCCAGCACAGGATGAGTCTAACCTCAGAGGGATGTTGGCGTCGCATCGACTTCTGGCCGTTTGCTTCTGAAATGTGTAAAACTCACGTGTGAGGCTGTTGATGACTTCGTCTCTAATGCCCCCAGCTCAGAAGACTTCACTTCTCCTCCACATATCTGGCTTTGTTTCTGCCTTTCTTGTATGTGGGTGTTTGTTGTTGTGCCTCTCGTGCCATTGTTCTTGTTGTTGTTGTTGTTGTCTTTGCTGGTGTTTGCTTGTCTTCTAGGCGACCAATTGGTTAGCGGAAGCCATTGGCAAAATCATACAAAATTAGAGCATTTTGTTATCATGCTAAATTTCAACTCTTTTGAGAGAGAGAAAGAACATTTCATATAAGATTCCTTACACGGTAAGACTTTCTTTAACATCCTTGTCTAGAACTACAATATATATGCTTTCTTGATATTATTTTATCATAACTTCAGTAACAGTTGAGTCTGGCGAATAACCAGATATTTTAGATTATTTTAATTCAATATTATTTCTGTTAACCATTAAGGGCAGGAGCTGTAAATAATATCATAAAATATTGTAAATTTGAATCTTTTGCTTTCCATACTCCCTCAATAAGTCAAGCATGTAAGCAGAGTTCAACGCATTCATTCAATATTATATGTGTTCTTGTATAGCTGGCTTTCATTCAGGGCAACCACTTAGCAAGTGAAATATTTGAAATTCCCATATCGACATGAATTGAACTAAAAGATTTTCACTGGAAAGATTTCGTTGTGTGTTTAGACGGCGCGCGACTCTTTCGCACGCGCATCTCAAATAAAAACCGAGTCACAATCTATAAATAAACGTATTTGTGTAGTAAAAATCTCAACGTTTTCTATAAATCTACGTTTACCGGCGAGTACACAACAAATATGCCATGAAACCGAAACAAACAACCGTTAAACAACGAAAACTATATCAATATGCTCTAAATAATAAATAACACTAATTAAAGCCAAGAAAATTTTAACACATGCCAACCGTCAACAAACAGTCAAACAGTCAAATAGACAAACAGACAAACAGACAGCGAGCTACCTCCAAAAGGAAGCCAAAAGGAAAAGGCAAATTTCCATTGCATTGACTGCTTCCTCCCGAGTGAAACTAACCAAAAGCAATGTTGCGTATTGTGCGGTCCACCATCGTCCGGTCGGCGAATAGTGTTAATTTTCTCAATTAGCGGGCTGAGATATATATTTGTATCTGTAACGTTGCAAGCAGCATTTTATGCTGCTAATTTCATTAACACATTTCGAATCGCTATCGGCGCAAGTTATTTACCTCAGTAATTTTTAGCTCCATTTCTACAGCACTGCAGTTGCACCAGATATTTGTATCTGTATCTGTATCTGTATCTGTATTTGTATCTGTAGCTATATCTGTAGCTGTAGCTGTATCTATATCGAGTCCGCTCATCTAATTGCTTGGGCCAATATTTGACGACGCCCGTTCGAGCTAATTGATGTGCCTCCTATGACTGAGCACTTTTTTTTTCTCAAAAAGAAATGCTACTCCAAATGAAATGCAAAGCAAATATGTAAGTGCGCCATGTGGAGTGGATTGGAGGGGGAGGTGGATAGGATGGTTTGGAGTGGATCGGTGTGGAGTGGAGTGGTGGGGGCGGCAGTTGTTGTAGCTGCTCTGCCTCAAACCAAAAACTTGCCCCAAGGCGCGTCAAATTATTTAGCTGCGGCATCCTTGTGCTAATTGCCTGCCGCTGCCGGTACTGTGCAGCAGCCGAAGCCGAAGCCGCAGCCGCAGCAAACCAACCATCAATCCCGAGAGTTAAAGCCAGAGTCCACGGCTCAGTCTGGGACTGAATTTTGAGCCTCAGCTCTCTGGCTAAGTTGGGTAATTTCTGGCCAAGCCACCGCCGGGCAAAATGTATACAGGCCACAGAGCCGAAGCGAGAGCGAGAGCCAGAGCCAGAGCCAGAGCCGAAGCCAGAACCCAAGTCATGGGAAAATTTCCGTACACACACAATTTGGGGTTTGGCTTACGCCTCAGTAGCAGTCACAGTTGCAGTCGCCGTCGCCGTCGCCGTCATCGTCGTCGTCGTCGCCGTTGCCATCGGTGCTGCCAGCCTCAACTGAACACAACTGGGCAACGGCACAAAAAAGTCAGTTTCGCACGCAAATTAAGATAATCGAAAGCAAATGCAGCAACGGTAGCAGCTTCATGGTTAGCGCTCAGCAAACGGGTTTACTACCCGGTAGCAACAAATCATAAAAATATGAAAAATTATGCGGCGGCGGCGGAGGAGACGTCGACGTCGACGTTGTCGATGTCGATGATGACGTCGAAGTGTGCTTTTGGCAGTCCATCATTAAATTGTGGCTAAGATTCCAATCGGATATATACACACACCGAAGAGCACAATGAGAGCAAGAACAGCAGCAGCAATATCAACAACAGCAAGAACAACATATCATCATCAATTGATTTCTTTATTTTTTCCTCTACTTCTTTTTACTTTTTTGAATATTCTTGCCAATGCTTCTCAGCTGCCTTTTAGGTGTATTAGTAAATAAAAATAATAAAACAGTAGCTGCCACATTAACCACCACTCGGAGTTGTAGCTCTTTTATGCACACTAAATTATATGGATGGCCACAATCAAACTCTAAAGTTTAGTTATCTTAATTGATAGTAGCATAATGGCAAACAAAAAAACGACCTTTGCAAATAAAGTTTATATGGTTCCCAGCAGCAGTATACAGGGTGTCATAATGATGTTGATTGCAACTTCAAATTAGCCCATAATAAAAAGTAAATAGACCCATTTGGCCAATTATAAATTTATTTTTATTTATAAAATTAGACAACATAGCTACAATATGTATTTGAGAGGCTTAACAACTTCAATACGTCTAATTAAATATTGTCACAGTAATTTTAAATATATTTTCAACGAATATTTAATTTCAATATAAGCCATTTTCTCAGTTTATAAAGTATAATGCTGAAGAGTGAAGCATTTGCAACAGTTTCAGTCTTTTGTAGACCCTTTGGAAATTCCAGACAAATCAAAGATTGGAACATTTCGTAATGGCTACGTCGAATATGATGCTTCATCCAGTACCAAAGTTAACTGGAAAAATAATGCTTTTCCTAAGAAAATTTGTTCGCTTATCCATTTCAATTTCGTACTCAACGGCATTGATCTTAAGACTCCTCACACGTTGGATATATGTAAATCTGTGCGGAGGAAAAAAGCCAGAGACTATAATTGTTAGTATTTTTTATTACCTTTAAATAACTCTTAAAGGGATCTCCGAAGCCAGACATAAATCTCAAACCCATCAAAGCTATTCTTGAAGGAACAGAAAAGGAACAGATAAGAGTTGCCACCTTTGCACACATACTTAATATACCTAAGCGATACACCTCGAGCTGCTCCGCTTGTGTGCCTGGCCATATAATTTGGCTAAAGGCCGAAGCATAGCATACAACAACAGCAGCACCCCATGGTTATTAGATGCCCAACATAAACGTGGCAAGCATCGTTTTCGTTTTCATTTTTTTTTTCTGCTTTTGGTTTTTTTTCTCTTTTTTTTTTTTATTTTTTTTTTTTTTGCATGCTGAACGTCGCCGATGTTAATCTGCGTGGAGCTGGAGCGGCACTGGCACAGCAAGGTATCGATTACTGCCACCGGGTTACGCAGACGCAGAAAAGTAGATCCGTTGCGTTTTGTTTGGGGAGCACACAATAAGCCACACAGTGAAGCGTGGAACGAAGGGCCAACAAGTGTTTCCCAGGAATTCCAAGAAATTTTGGGGGCCGTACCAGAAAAGCATTGTGCGGCGCCTGGCAATTAATTGTACGCCAACTTGACGGTGGTCGGGCGTGGGCTCAACGCAGTTCGTTTGTCTCAATCGTATAGGGTTACCAACCCGACCGGCCAGAACCGTCTGTCAGTCCGTCCGTCCGTCCGCCCGTCCGCCAGGAACTTTGAATGTTGGACGCGCGTTCATTATGTGCCGTTTTGCACTATTTTCCGCACAGAAAATCATTAGAGCTGCCCGCAGCGTTGAGCTGGACCAAACTATATCGTGGGAATATGGCAAATAAACTCGTCCAAATTACACACACACACACACACACAGATGGAGAGGTAGTGAGAAAGACGGGAGGTATATGAAATGCGAGTGCCTAGGCAATTCGTAAACCACAGTCGCTCCAGGAAAAGTGCAATAAAAATTTGCGCAAATTTCGTGTTTCTTTTGGCCTGCAATTGCTATTGACTTGGCCTATCCATCGCAGTACCGACTTGCCTGACTGACTGACGCCCCATGCATATTAAAGCTAGCCTTAGATTGATACCAGTGTGAATGTGTGTGTGTGATTGAGTATCTGTGTGTGTATTTGTTGCAGATGAGATACAGACACAGACACAGATGCAGTTACAGATGTTTGCCCTGGGCGCCTGTGATTTATTTCCTGCCGATTTTTACGATGGCGCTGAGCGAGAGCATTAAAAATAAAAGATCGGCCCATAGCCGCACATTTAAAATGCATTTTACTTAATAGTTTCGCATTATGTTTAAGCTTTATGTACTAATTAGTGGGGCCAACGGTATAAGTATCTCAGCCCTAAAAGCCAGTCCCCTACAATTTGCGGGAGTATTGCGTTTGCTCATTACCAGCTGGGCTGCATAGATCAACTTGTCAATAAAGATGACAACAAACACTAAGTGTGTGCCCGATTAGGAGATAACTTGTTCTTATGATCTATACAGTACTCTCTCTAGTTGAGTTTTCGAAAAAGGAATAATATATATAACTTATAAACTTGATCAGAAATCGACATTTATAATTCTTCCTCTCTATCTATTATCGTCAGACGGATGGTATATGTGATATAAATGATCCTTCTAGAACTTCATTATACCATTTTTGGACATTTTGAATTGGCAGAGGGTACAACAAGATTTGCGCCTAATTTCTGTGGGGCACGTAAGCTTTGTTGGATATCTCGCTGTAGAGCGTAAAACAAACTGCAGGCCAAGTAGCTTGATTAAGATCTTGACTGCCACACTGAGATTAAACATGTGGCAGCCAGCAGCAGCAGTACCAGTGCAAGTACCATTACCAATACCAGTACCAGTGACTCTGGCTATGAGGGAGGCAGAAGATTTTTAACTCTGAGTTTGCTCCTACGCCCGCCTTCTGCACCGGGCACAGGTTGGCTGCTGACGCCTCGCTAAGAATCGTGTTTATGCTTTTAATTAGCAACAACAACTTGTACAGTAAGTAGCAACCACTGCAACCACTTGGTGCTACTTAGTGCAGATTTCAAGGTACCGATAGATATATTAAGAAATGACATGACATGTCTCGCTCACTCCTCATTCTCATCCTCTCTCACTGTGCTCAGATAAATTTTGATGGAGATTGCAAGCCAAAGATGCGCGGGAGTTTGCCTCGTTCCATACTTGTAAATCTTACTAACTCAGATTGCCACTGCCCGTTGTTGACGTTGTTGTTGATGTTGTTTGTTGTTGCTATTGTTGCTGTTGCTGTTGGCTATTAACACGTTTTGGTCTTTTTGGCATGCATTACGAAGGATGAGCATTATCATATTATCGCCTGACCAGGCATCTTGTTTATGATAAATATTTCAAAAACTTATTAATTATGCCACAAGTAGACAGCCAGAATGGCCAACTAGCTGGCATTTTACTCAGCTAATTGGGAAATACTCAGGCTACCTTGGCATGCGTTCCGTAACGAGTGTGGGAGGATGAGTCGCCTACCTGTAGATTTAAGCAGCTGATATTAATTATAAGCAGTCAATACAAAATACAAATCATGATCATGCATATTTATTTATAGACCCCGCTTTTGCACTTTTTTATAAATTGTCTATCTCGGAATTAAAATATTTATTCAAATAATTATAACTATTCTGAATATATATGCTTAATTCATAATTAACACAATTTATTTGCGCCATAGATATTCACTTCGTTATTTGTTTGCATTATTAAGAAGCAAACATGACAAATGACTTTGTTTCAAAGGAACAGCAATTGCTTAAACAAATTTTTTAATCATAATAAAATTGAGATTTTTTATTTTATTAATTTATATTACTGAAAAGATTTTTCCATAATAAAGTGGATAAAAATTAATGAGTTTTAGCTAGCTTTGCTTGAAAATAGTATATAAAAAAAATATAAATCAAAAATAAACCGTGCATAAGCCAGTCTCAAGCTAAACTTCAACTCGAACTGTTGACAAAAATCAGTCACCCAATCGACTAGTGTGACCCTTCACCAACGGTAACGACCACGCCCACTCGCTCTCCATGCTGGTGCCCATTGCCATTGGAAGTCGAAAGCAATCCAATCATATGTGCATATGAACTCTAGCGACTATCGCAGCATTTAAATCAATATTCATTTTAATTGTACAAATCACCTTGACTTAATTTTGTCTGAGTGTGTGTGTGTGTGTGTTAAGGCCCCCCTTTGAGTCGACTACTCAATTCGGACCAAATCTGTTCTATTATGGGCAGCAGTCGGAAAATGCCGCCGCCTGGCAAAGTCAATCGGATGCCGGCCAAGAAAAACGGACGGTCGTTTGCATTGCATGCGGCAACAGTTTGTTGCATGCAACGCGAGCACACCACACTCCACACACACACACATACACACACACACATACACAAGGACATACACATGGGAACCGTGTATCGGAGAGATACATGTGTGTGATTGTTTTAAATGTTAACATGGCCATTTAGAGGCAATAACAGCGGCAAAATGGCAGTCCCAGACTGAGAAAGCCAGAAAGGCGCGGGCACTTGCTGTTATTACAACAATATTACCAATATTTATCAAGCGCTTTGCAAAACGCTCTGCGCCAACAATGGCAACAGCGTCAGCATAAATAAAAAAATAATACAAAAAAACAACCACAAAAATGTTTAAACGCCGCGTGCGCTGCAGTCGCCGACGCCGCCGCTGCATAAAAAGACAAATTTATGATTTATGAATTCAACCTTGTAAATAATATGCTCAGAAAAGTACACACGGACAGATCGCTAAACGCTTGCGCCGCCCCAGCACCACGCTCCTCGACCTGCCAACTGAGCAACCAGACAACCAGACAAGCAGACAACCTACCAAACAAAAACTGACCAACCTACTTGCACAATTTTCCGCACAAGGCATGTGGCAAGTGTGCCCCACATCGAACAGCGGTGCAACAATAACAACAACCACAACGACAACAACATCGTCAGCAACAACAGCAACAGTAAGAACAACAGCAACAACTAGCTGCTAGTTGCATGATTTTTAAATGCGCGATGAGTTATTTATGCATCTTGCATGCACTTTTGGTATGTGCCAGCAACTTAACCCCTGAATGATTCTATACTTATAGACGCGACTTTGAACTCTATGAAACTACTTAAACTAAGCCTCTGATCAGCTTATAAAATATAAACATATTTTTAATTTGTACGTGTTCAATTAATATTAAACCACAAATTAATTGACGTTTATATTGATTATTTGAAACTATGATTTTTTTAATTAAAAAAGTTGCACATAAAATAACACATAATCTAACCTAATTTAGTTGTCAAAATAGTAGTGCTAAAAAATTATGTTAATCTATTTTTTATAACCCATGCTGATTTACAGAGAATAGATTGATTTTTGATTAAATAAAGCTATAAAATAAACCATAATCCAACTTAATGTAAACGATTAATTAGGTTGCCAAACGTTTAGCACAAAAAATTATATTAATTTACTTGCTTATAAGCCATAATGATTTACTTAGTTCGTTAATATTTTTGTTTGTTTAAATTTGAGCACATTTGACATTTTTTATAAGTCAGATTACATGCAATTCGTGGCACAGTAGAATGCAATGGGTTAAACATCCACAGACTAAGTACAAGTTGGAGGCTGTGAAAACATATGCGCCTGTGGCCAGTGTCGGCGTTGACCATTATTAAGCTGTAGCTGTGAACGTGCTCATATATATTCTAATTGTTTCTTTTCTTAAGGTTTTTTTTGTTGTTTTTTATTCGTTTGTTTGTAACTAGCTTTTTATTATTGCCATTGCAGATTCGATGCGAACAAATCGACGAAGGGTGCCTCGAAGATGCGACGCGATCTTATAAATGCGGAGATAGCCAATCTGCGGGACCTGCTGCCGTTGCCACAATCGACGCGCCAGCGACTGTCACAGCTGCAGCTGATGGCCCTGGTCTGTGTCTATGTGCGTAAAGCCAACTACTTTCAACAAGGTGAGTGGAGTCGCTAGAGGAAGGGGTTGTTGCAGCTTGATGCATATGCATGTTGATAATTGGCTGCACGTTGACTGAATATGCATGAGTCATGCTGTTTGGCATGGGACCCCACGCCGCCAAACATTCGTTTAGTCCCGCAAACAACCGCTAGCTCTAAGTAAGAAATACCGAATACTCCTCAGTACTGAGTACGGAATGGTAGTTGTGGTGGGCATACCACATCATTCATATGTCTATGTCTCCGTCTCTGGAAATTGTTTTCGGCCAAGTAATTGGCTAAGCGTCTAGGCACGCACCCAGGCTGCAAATTGCCAGTGCCTATCTCTACCTTCTTCCCCACCCCACCCAACTCTTTCACTCCCCCATACACTCTCAATCTGTGTGCCTACCCCATCCCCATCCCCAACCCCACTCCCCACTCCCTTGCCCACCTCTGCCGTGCTCTGTTCATCCTCCTTTAATGCGCATGCGCACAGGTCAACGCGCAGGCGCAACTGAACGAGATCAAGTCAGGCATTGCGCGCTCTTTATTTTTGTTTTGTGGATAATTACGAAAATTGTTTTTCAAATTAGCGTTGTGCGGTACATAAGACCCATAGATAACACACACACACTAACACACACACATACACACACACACACCCATATACGTCTATGCAGTGCAGCATAGTTGGCCTGGCTCTTAACTCGGCTAGCATCTTTGCCAGGCATGTGAACTCGGTTTCAGGCCCCGGCTGCCTCAGTTGCCGCAGCTGCCCTGCGTCAAGGCAATTTCACAATTGCAATGGTAACAACAAAGTCTGCCTTGCATTGCTATAAATATTGCGATAAATCAAAATGTGCGATTTATGTGTTCTACAAATTGCAAAAAATTAAACTTAAGTACTGTTTCTTTTTCATCTTCTGCATCCATCTCTCTCTCTCTCTCTCCCTCTCTCTCTCTCTAACTTAGTTTTTATTTCTTGTTTTTTTATTTATTATTTTTTTTTTTTTTGAGCACTAAGTGTGAGAAATTGTCGGCGTTTGTTAGCTTGTCGTTTGCTCAGTCTGTGTGTGTGTTGTTCTTGTTGTTGTTGTTATTGTTCATTGTCATTGCACCGTTTAAAAGCATTTATAATCACAAATTGTGTTAATATTGGCACGCTATCGAATCTCTTTGGAGCCTCTGAACACACGCGCCTGATCTTCAAGTTCACGGCATTATATTTATTTGTGGGTGTGGGTGTGGGTCGCTGTGGGTGTGGCTGTGGTATCGTTGGATCTGGTTGTGACTGGGGCGTTGCGCTCAGATATGCGATTAATGAAATATTTATAAAGCAAATTGAGTTTTCACAAACAATTATTAATGCGCATCGTTTTGTGCAGATTACCCCTTCGGCTTGAATTGCATTGTAAAGCAAAATACTTGTTAGGCACATTAACATATTTGCGGGTTTATGATAATATCGGGGAAAACTGTGAAAGTAACTCTAACTTGTTTCGATTTAATAAACTGCATTTAGACATCAAACATATTTTCTATATATTTATATACGATCTAAAATGCATATAACTAATTAATATTTATACAAAGTAGAATGTTAATAGTGTACATATATATAAATAATTGAATGTTAATTGTCCAGAATTAGTAAGAAATGTTTAGATGAAAGATATTGTTTGCAAATTGAAGTAATTTTTCGGGGAATTCATAACACTGCCTATATGAGTTTCCAAGTAGTTTTCCAAGCAGCAACTTGTGAACACGCCCATTATTTGACTGCCTTAAACTAGCTAACAATCGATTCAAAATTGTTTTAGCAAACGGATTTCTTAGTATTGTTGTTATATTAAAACACTGCAAAAATCTGACTGCATTCATGGCCTTTCCGTTCAAGTTCAATGAAATTACCAGTTGCGGTTGCTGCCTCAGTGATTGTTATTGTTGCTGTTGCCGTTGCCGCTGCCGTTGCCGTTGCCGTTGCCGTTGCAGTGACTGTTTCTGTTTTGCCTGTTCGCCAGGTGCGGGAGTATCTTGTAGTGTTTTAAAAATAATTGATCTTGATGCTGGCTGCGGCGCAGCTGCAAACTGCTAACTGCAATTGCACTCAGTGATCGCTGTTGATTTTCGCTTTGCTGTTGCTGTTGTTGCTGTTGCTGTTGATGTTGCTGCCGTTGCAGTTGATGCTGCTGTTGCCGTCTCAGTGACAATGACACATTTTCTTTTTGTGATTCACTTGTTTTTGTAATGCAAGATCGTCGCTTATTGTATGTAGAATATAATCAATGAATTCACAATCAATTGCATCTAACAATCGCCGTCAGAGACCAAGTGTATTATTAACAGATACTTTTTAATTAACTTCGCTAACATCTATGCATACAAATTGCGCACAAAGAGCTATGGGAAAAACTAAGATAGTCAAACCGATTTACCCCTAACTTAAGGCGGATGCTTAGGCACAGATGTAAATGGGCGCGGCTGTTAAAAATACACAAAAGGTCAAAAGTTCATATCAAATTAAATTATTTTAATTCTTTTTACATATATTTCCATTGCAGTATTTAAGCGACACAATGCTCTTCATCAACATCACCAGACAGCAACACCAAATATTGGCTTCTCGAAGGTAAGAATATTATAAAAGTCTCATATAAAGATATAAAAGTTAACTCACATTAATTTGATTATTTTTAATAAAAATAAAATTGTATGTATTATCATCTAATCAGACTTTTACTTAATAAGACATAGCTTGTGTACATAATAATCTTAGCTTATGTATTTCAAGTATATTTAAACATTCCATATTATTCCAAAAGGAGAAAGGTAGAGAATTCGCAATTGGTTATCTTCCATTTGGTAGAGGCAAGGAACGGTGCGTTGCCAATTCAATTAACCATTTGTGGTAGCCAATGTGGCTGCTGTAGAAAACAACTCAATTTAAGAGAGACGCGTTGACAACTCAACTAGTGATCCGAAAGTTCCAGGGAAAACAACTCTATTAATGGCAACAACTGTGGCATATCATAAGCCAGAAATCATTTAGCCACCGCCACTTGCTGCGCACAGAAAAGAAAACAATAAATGCTGCTCTTAGTCAAAAACAAAAACAAAAACACAAACAACAACAGCAACCACAACAAACAGTAAAGAAGCAGACAGTAGTCAGTCAAGCTGGCTGCAACTGCCACTGGCTGCCGCGACTCGGCGATGGTCGGCAGATTGATCTACATACCTGTGCGCACTCGTGACTGAATTAAATACAAATACATAAATATATATATATATATATATATATATATATATATATTTGTGTAGCTATATATATATATATATATATATATCACAGCAACCTCAGTCAATTTTCAGTTGTCAACTCTGGCAACTTCTTTGGGCTAACAATTTATTAGTGTGCAGACGCGAAAATGAATTTGCATTTCCACACAATTGTTAGCCAACATAATAGAGGGTGTTTCTTTCACAAACACTTTAATTTGGGTGCTCGATCAACTTTCAATAGATAAGCTTTAAATTGAGCGGGTTACACAAGTCGCTTGAAATCAATCTGAATTCCTTATTTGGGCGGATCGAATGTCAAACTTTAATTTCTTGTTTTAATGGTAGATCATAGTTATTTATTTATTTAATATAAGTATGAATGTATTAGTTTTGCTAAATAATACAATGTGTAGACACCCTTTATATCCAGCTGTTAAATATTCATTTGTATTGCAGGCACTTTCGGGCTTTCTTATGATGCTCACACAAAATGGCAAATTGCTCTATATATCGGATAATGCTGCCGAGTACCTGGGACATTCTATGGTAAGTACAATATTTGGTTTTGTTTTTTTTTTTTTGGAATTCGCTTCGCTTTTGTTGGCTAAACGATTTGGGAGGATAATTAGAAAAGCGCTGGCTATGAAAGTTTTTGACTAAAATTGCTACAGTCGTTGATACAAATCTGTGACAAGCGACAACAGACAACAACAGCAACATCGATGTCGACTCAGCAGCAGCAACAACAAATATTTGTTGCAGTTTTTGTGTTGGTTGCTTGGTTGCTTTGCTGGCTGGCTGCTCCCGTTGACAAGTCAACAACAACTGACTGCCACAAACTCGATTCATTGAGCTTACATAAATCTGCTGCTTGTACTACACAAAAGTTCCTTAAATCTGTTGCAAACAGCTCAACTTTGTAACCGCTGCTGCTGCTGCTGTTGTTGTTGCTGCTGCTGTTGCTGCTGCTGTTGTTGTCTTAGTTGCTGTTGCGGCTGTTTCAAGTTTTGTTTATCGCACGTTTACGCTGCTTAAATAGCAAGGTTATACATCGTGGCCTTTCACTTTGCATTTGAAGTACTAAAGCTAAATAAATATGCCTGAGCTGAGCTGCATAAATAAATGCAGCACATGTGACATATCCCCGTTCTACATAACGAATAAAAATCCGAATACGAATACCAATACGAATACGAATACGAATACGAGTGCGAGTGCGAATGCAGTCACTTATTCATCTAAAACAAATAGCCAGACATTGACAAAGGTACTGTTACAAAGTCTGCAATGCACATTGCACACATGGACAACTATGTATGTTTATGCCGAGAGATTGTTGAATGTTGATGTGCTTCGCCGGTTACTGCAACTCTACAAGCTTCCACTGGCTTAGGGGGCGTATGAGTTTTTTTTTGCACTGCAACTGCAGCAACTGTCAAGAAACTTGTGAGAAATCGCAACACTTTGCCGATAAATCATATTCGGTGTTGTCCTAGTTGTGCCCAGTGGAATTTGATGGATAGATTTTTGTGGCAGTTTAAATTTTCATTCCACCTAATTGGACGCAAATAAATGTTTTAAGCACTTTTTAAATGTACGAGATTTTAATAACTAATGTACATATGTTAAACAAAATATTTATCGAATTCTGATTAAAGAATCTTCAATATTCATATATTTCTAGTCCATTTAAGGCTCTGAGAATGCTTAAGAGTATAAAATTAAACTATTTGACTATTGCCTAATAGCCAAATTTAAGTCGCAGTAGATTTCCGGCAACTTTTAGCCAATCCAACGTCAGTTAGCTAAGACTAACTTTCATATCGAGTACACGTAGTGGCCAACATTGGTGCTGTTAAGGCCTGTCAAAAGCGAGTGCAGTCAAGAGCCCACACACACACACACACACACACACACACACACACACACACAAGCACACACACTTAAAGAGTAAGGCTGGCAGGCCAATTGGCTGGCAAGACACTTGACAGCCTTCGGCCTTTGGGGCAGGCCTTATCAGGGGACACCCACAACAATAGCAACGAAATGGTCAAGAGAGTTCATAAATTGTTCGTATGCCATGTGTTGGCATAATTATGGCACAATAACTGAGCACAAATAACATGAGCGGGCCCAAAAGTGGATTGCCCAACCTTTTAATTTGTGGCAGGCAGCGGGCCAAGCTTACAGTTAGTTAACGGCCAAAACGGCAGCAGAAATAATAACAACAACACCACCAACAACAACAACAAGCAAAGTTAATTAACAAACTGCCAAAAATGTCAATGGAGCTTGTTGCTGTAGTTGCTGCTGTCTGCTGTAGTTGTTCTTGCTGCAGTTGTTGCTGTTGCTTGGGCATCATAATTCCAATTCGATTTTTGCATATTGCCATAACAAGTTGCCATTGTCACGTGTCATGTAGCGACAGCAGCCATAAATAAATTACAAATGCAACAACATGCCATTGTAGTATATTGGCCGATCGCTTTTGGTCTAGCGCTCGATCAGTGTTGGCCATAATTGTCAACAACAACAAACCAGATGCAATCCCAATAGCTGATGACCGTGCGAAAGTGGCACTGCATTCAATGACACATCATTAACAAATTAAATTTGTCATCCTAATTGAATATGGAGACACATATTGTTTCTCGATCCCACAACTTTTAACCTATCTTTCAAATATCGAATTAAAGTAGTAGCAAAAATCAATCCTTAATGGCAACAATTACATGTGAAATAATTTATAATATATAAATATACAGAAAAAATCGATTAAAAAAAAAACATAAATAAAGTGATTGATAATCAAAAGTGATTTTCTATATATACTTAATCATATTCTGTTTTTTTCTCTCCCATTTTTCTCTTTTCTCTCTTTTTCTCTCTCTCATTTTCTCTCTGCTTTTAGGAGGATTTACTTATACATGGCGACTCCGTTTACGATATCATTGACAAACAGGATCACGCAACCATACAAGCCGAACTAAATCGGAACGTGCCACCGCAACCAGGTGGCAGCAGCAGCAGCAGCGTCGGCGTTGGCATTGGCGTTGGCGATTCGACAAGCAGCAACGGAACTGGCGGCGCCTCTTCTCTGGAAGGGGAGCATCGCATGTTTCTCTGTCGCATGAATGTTAGCCGCAATGCGCGACGGCAAATGCGTTTCGGTGATCAGAAGGTGAGTGCAACAAACACAGACACACTCACATATACACACACAGTAACATTCATATATGAGTGAGTAAGCGCGTGTAGTCTCTGACAGAAATTGATGAATGAATCACCTGGGAGCGTGTTGCGTGTAACACTTGGAAACCAGAGAGTGGAGAGCCAGCAGTCACAGTAACAGCAATGCAATGAATTATGCATGAAGCCGGGCGCATGCGTTGTCTGCCAACCGGCTGCCCAGTCTGGGGCTGGTCATACATCTTACCAAGCCAGCTAGCCAGCCAGCCAGCCAACAAGCCAACAAGCTAGCTAGCCAGACTCCCAGCCAGCCATCCGCTTTACTATAAGCTGACAAACGATGACAGTTGATGTGGAACGGGTGGGTGCCTCGTTCTGCTGTTGACTGCTCTGATTGGCCGCCTCTGCTGATCATCATCATCATCATCATCATCAAAATGATGATGTGAGAAAAAACGGCAAGAAACCGCAGCTATCTTCATCATGTCGAACATTGCATACTCTCACAACTCTAAGTCCATTACTCATTTTAAAAGCAAAAGATTCTTAGCATATTAAAAGAAAAAATTGATCAATTTCGAGTCATAGTTTCTTAAATGACAACAGACCGATTCTCCCAACTCTGGTGCAAGAAATAAGGATATATTCAGTGCTTCATCATTTCTCATCGAGCTTGCAAAGTGGAAGCCTGCCTACATGTGTTCTCTTGCATGTGTTACACACCTCGTGACAAAATAATAATACCCTCTGGAAGAATTTAAAAACAACAGACAAAAGACAAAAAGCCGCAACAATATAAATGAGTGCGAGCACAATATGAAGTTGTCAGGCAGTCAGCCAGCCAACCAAGTCAGCCAAGTACTTCACTCAGCAGGCAAGCAACCTGGCTGGCTGGCCGTTTGTCTGGCTGGTTGGCTGGCTGGTTGGTTGGCAGGCAGGCAGGCAGGCAGGCAGCGAGGCAGGTTGAACCAGGCAAGACCAAATCTGTCAACGTGTTGAGACCGAGACGAAGACGCGTTGAAATGATGTGAATGCTACCGTGTGTAGCGCTGTCACAATCTTGTGGGCGGTCGCTGGTCTTTTATGCATATCTCTTCTTATTTTTGTAGTTCTTTTTTGACTTGTTTTCTTTATTTTTTTTTGCGCTTGAAGTGCGCAGATGTGCGCTGCGAGTTATGGAGATAAACCGAGGCGTTGACAGTTGCTGCAAACGTTTTTAATTAAGTTGAAAGTTGGCACTTTAATGAGGTGCAGGAAGTGTTGCTGTTGGGCTTATATTTTCCCAGCTACATCTTATGACAACACAAGAGCCCACATGCATTCGTTCGGTACGAGGCTGTTAAAAAAAACTTTAAGATTGTTACAGCTGAATGCTTACAATGACACTAGCTTAAGCCACATTAAAAGGAGAATTGATAATTCTGGCCAAACCTTGAAAAATAGCTTGTTTTTAAACGAAAATCAATCAAATCACACTCATTTCCATTATGTATATCTAAATGATTTCTACAGCAATAAAATTTAAAGTATTAGTCATCGGGATCGCTCGCTGAATCATATAGTATTATCAATAAATATTAAGCGGGTTTAGGATTTTATTTACATATATATCTAAAGACAATTTAGAAACCTATTTCTAAATGTTGGGAGCGTAACATTTAGCTAGAGCAGAATGTCAGGGATGTGGACCCACATGAACCGACTGAGGTAACCCAGAGCGCAAACCGAAATGAGGCACATTCACCCAGCACTCGTTAATATACAATAAAAAATGGACCAATAAATAATTATGAATGAGGTCAGCATAGTTCAGTGGTAGTACCCAGCAAATAGCACAGACAAAAGACCAAAAAAAAAAAAAAAATAATATAGAAACAAAAAAACTCCCAGCAACAACAACCAGAGTAGACCAGAGTTGGAGACAGCGCTGTGGCACTGGCGCCTGCTCCCCAGCCTAAGGTCGTCTCATTTACCAAACCAGAGACGACGACAATAACAACAACAACAACAGCAGCAGCAGCAGCGGCGTCTGCGTCATCGATGGTTTGGGATCGGGTTCGGAATCGGAATCGGATTCGGGCTGCATTTGCATTTAAGCAGAAGAAGCGGCCATAAGCTACAAAATGCAATTGCAATGCAAAACTAAATGCAAGCACGTTTTAATTGGGAGACAATAGCTGAGACTCTGACTGAGACTCTGACTGAGACTCTGGCTGAGACTCTGGCTCTGACTGAGACTAAGACTGAGGTTGAGACTTCCATTTAGACTGCCTGGTGTGTGTATTTGGCTGTGTGGAGGCAGCTTTGGCTTGCGTATGCTTGCAAAACATTTCAGTGATTGCCTTTTTTAAATTATGGAATCAGAGTAAAATGTAAAATGTCTATGAGACCCCAAAGCATGCCAGCCCAAAAATGGCCACAACTATCGGCGACAACGTGCGCGCCAATTTCCGTGGGAGCCGCCGCCTCAAACACAGCCACTCCAGCAACAACAACAACAACAAGAATAACAAACCCAGTCTTAACTATGACCGTTTTTTTTGTTTGCGCTTACAGGTCGTTCTTGTACAGGGTCACTATTTGTCATTCCTGCCGCTGTGCAGTCGCAACGAGCCCGTCTTTTTAGCCACCTGCACACCCATCGCGATGCCCGAGACGCGCGAGTGTGTGGTTCAGGGCGCCACCAATGTGTTTACCACCATACACTCCATGGATATGAAAATCGCACACATCGACAAGAAGTGAGTAGTAATAACCCCCATTGAAATATCTTTTATAACACATTCCATTTGCCAATCCTTAATTGTCATTTCAGTGGCGAGTTCCACTTGGGCTACGAGAAGGCGTCATTACAGGGCACATCCTGGTACAATCTAATACACAGCGAGAATCTACGTGAGGCTCAAAGCAAACACAGGCTAAGTAAGTAAATGCATAGAAATTAAATCAAGCTATTTAAACATCTTATAAAATAGCATATAATCGTGAATAGCACTGGGAATCTTCTGTGACTCATAATTAGCTTTATACATTTATATACCAAAAGAGTGACTCTCTAAGGAGTGTAACCTTAAAAAGTGGAAAATGGAGAGAAGGAAAGTTACTTGGCGCAACAATTTAATTGCAATCAAAGGGTAAATTAAAGAAAGGAGCTGTCATTCAAAAAGTTCATGCCAAGTAGAGGGAAAAGATTTGAGAGGCAGGTGGAAATTGAATTAACGCTCAGACGAAGCTATAAGATATATTTTAAGATGACATTATGAATTATTAGCTGTCTTTTAAGTGGTGTTCTTTGGAGGTAGGATTAAATTTGGAAGGATAAAAATTACCTTTATATACAAGATGGTAACTTATTACTCATTGGATTACAAAATATTAATAAATGAGCATAGTCTTACAGAAAGATATATAAAAAACAGTGTTTCTAGACTAGTCTTTAACATTTCTACGATTACAGTAACGCAATCGGAACAGGATCGTAGTTGCATACTGCTTGTGCGCATGCAGTGCTCAAGTGGCGATTATACCTGGGTACATGTGGTGCTCCAGGTGCGAGATAGTCCCGACTCTACACAGCAACCTGTCATCGTCTGCACCAATCAGGTGCTGAAGTAAGTAACTTCCATTTCCATCGTTAACCAAAAATGAGATATTTAGCTAATAGCGAGAAATCTTCTCAGTGATCGGGAAGCTTCCATAATGCTGGCCAACTCGTGGCTCTATCACTATTACACGGTGCAGTCAAAGATACAGTTTGGCATGCCGCTGGACAGCGCAATGCGTGTGCCGCCGGGCAGCAGCTCCAGCTCCAGCAGCTACTTCGGCACACATCAGCAGTCGCATGGTGGTGCTGGTGTGGCCAGCTTGGGCATGTCTAGTGGAGCGGTCGGCATGTCCGGCGTGTTTGCTCACCATCATCATCATCATCATACGACGGCAGCAGCAACCTACCATCATCATCATTCGCACATGGGCGCTGCCTATGGCGGCGTCTATCATGCGGAGGGCGCGCTGGAACTGAAGGAGGATCAGCCGCTATATGTTGGGGGATTTCAGTCCGGTGGTGGCCTGGAACCCGTCGACTATAGTCAAGTAAATGGCACGCCCACAGGCACTGGCAGTCAAAAGGCGACGCAGTCTGCCACATCGCCGCCGCCAAAGAAACGAGCGCGTAACAAACTGGAACCGCTTTATTTGCACGCCGAACGTTCACCGGCGGCGACGACTATTACGCCAGAGCCGGACTGCTATGCCTTGCATCCGGGTGGCGCTTATGCGACGGCGGCCCCTGGCAGCAGTGATGCCTCCGCTTCGGTGATTTATGCCACTATTGTGCCAACACGTCCGCGTTTGCTGAATAAAACACTGCCGCCGGATCCAGCGGATTTTATTGAACAGTGGAATCCCAGTCCGCCTTGGTCAGAGTCGGCGCAGAAGGCGTCGCTGGATAGTTTTGGATCCTCGCATGAGCTCAGTCCCTGCATCACCACCACGCCACCCACTCCCACTAGCGCCACGCCCCATCATGGAGGCGTCAGTGCACAGGCAATTGGGCCTGCATTCAGTTTTGAATGGATGTCGGATCCGCTGGTGCCGGTCGCCTACCAGCAATGGCCACCAGCGACAGGCGATCATCATCAGCATCTCTCCCAGCATCTGGCAGCGGCGCAGCAACAACAACATCAACAGCACCAGCTTCAGCACCAACAGCATCCACAGCACCAGCAACAACACCACCATCAACAGCATCCACAGCTGACGCTGCATGGTGTTCACGTGGCGCGTGTAGAACTTGCCGCCGAATCTATGGCGGGCACGGGTCGGGCTGATGCCACCGAACCGGTCGAGGATAGAGGTTAGTACATTTTGATTGGCACGAGTCAATCAGCGTTCAATTCGCGACCAGCTGCTAATTAATTAAGCTCTCAAAAACAAAGCAGCCGCAAAAACAGAAACAGAAACAAAAACAATTACCAAAAACCAACACCCTTGCAGACAAAACAGTCCAACTGTTTTTCCAATTATCCAACTAATTGTTTAAATTATTGAATTGATATATTTACAATTATTTGCAAAATGATTAACTGTTGAGCCAATGTTTCACAAAAGAAATCATATTTATGCAATCCATGTAATCTATGCAGTCTAATATACATTTTTTTGTAATTGGGTTGCAGATTTCTCTCTCGCATTTCATGACAAAATCATTATAACCACTGCAAGGGTATAAAAACAATACAATTTTTTTGGTTTCTATTTTCGATTTGGTTCTGAAGTGTTTATCATTAGAGATTGACACTTCCGCCAACTACATATATACACCCTCTCTCATACATACTCGTTTCTCTTCTGTTTGTCTTGATCGACTCATTTCAGATCCAAAAAATTAGTGACCTGCGCATTATGCAAAAGCTCGGAAATACCAAGCGCGGCTCGGCGTGCAACGGGCAGGTGATAATCACACTTAAATTAATTGCCACTTGTCATCTTAGCGTTTAAATTATTTTTTACCTAACTCTAAACAAAAAGAAAATAAAAACACACTCACAATTGACGATAACAATAGTTATAGGTAGTATAGATATCGCATATAGGCATTATTTACTGGCAAGCACCACCTATCTAAAACAAACTAATTTGAGTACAAAACACTCATAATACATTTTTCTGTGCAATTTTGTTTAAAGCTTAAACATTACAATATAATAATACTACATACATATTTAGCTTGGAAATTAGTTTTACGATAAGCACCTGGAAAAGCAGAAGAGCTCTATTAGTTGTATACAATTTTTAAGTGGCGTTTTTATGGCGTTTTTTATGAGTATTTTTCGTATCGGTATTTGTATTTTGTTTATATGTATGTATGTATGTGTATGTATTTTTTAGGATCATATTCTTCTAGACAAATTAGGTTAACTATTTTATTTATGAAAAGTAATTTATAAGCAATATTTATTACCACAATACCTTTTGATTTTGCTTATATAATAAACAAACAAAAGTATTTTGAGTTGAAAATTTAAAAAAAAAACGACTAGTTTGATTTTTATTTAAATTGCTTTGAGCGGTAAGTGACACTTGACAATATATTTTATATGATTTAAAAATAAGAAATTTTTAAATATATTTTGTTTTCTTCTAATGTCAAACCAAACTTGTAGAAGATAGCATTTAAGATAAATAATTGAGCTCTTTTCAATTATTACAGTGAGCTTGCCATCTGAGTTATTTATTTAAATGCCAAGATTTTCTGATTAATCTATTACTCATATTTTATTATGCTCAAGCTAAGTATGCCCAAATGGATAAATATATTTTATTTATGAGTGATCGTGATAATCACAATCAACTGATATGTTCGCAGCTTCTTCTCGTTGTCCAATCACATGTACAAATAATTCTCATTGTCTTCCGTTTATGTGCACTCAAGGCGACTCTCAAAATTTATGATCAGTCTCAGTCTAAGACTCAGACTCAAAGCACACACACAAGACTTTATGGTAAATGTCATGATTTTAAGTTTCCATTAAATGCAATGCACTCTGAACTAGCCACTGAAACTTTATCTTGCAGTCCATTGCAGTCCAAGCAGCTAAACGCTTTCGCCCAAAAATCCAATGCCACTCCCCAAACCCCAATCTGGCTGCAATAGCGCCAAGCCGGGGCCAGTCATAGACATTTTCAATTTCAAACTACTCGTACCACTTCATGGTGACGACGATGGAGCTGCTGACGCAGAACAGACGCCAGACAGAGTCGAAATTCACACAGCAGCAGCAGCCGCAGCAGCCGCAACAGCAGCAGCAGCAGCAGCAGCCGCAGTCAGCAGTCAGGCTGGCCAGATGAGACTCCTTTATTTTTTTTCGGGGCTGCGGATGCAGTTGCAAAGATCTGTGGTGATATTCCACAAATATTGTAAGTAGAATGGCTAAGCAAAGCAAAGGCAAACCAAGGCAAATCAAAAACAAACAAAACAAAGTAAAACCAAACAGAACAAAATGAGACAAAACGTATCCAAATAAAAACCCAAACGAAACGGAACGGAACCCTGGCGACGCAGACGCCGCAGCTGGCGCGATTGAATGACTCCTCGTCGTCGGTCGTCTGAGATACTGACTGGCTATAGACTCGGACTGGTCGACGACGACGGCGACGACGACGACAACGACGACACACTTACAGGCGACGACGGGCTACAGCAACATTCTGAGAAATATTGGTGTAGGTCACAGCCAGAGATAACATGCTGCGCCATTGAGTGTGTGTATTTGCCTGCTTGCTGGCTGGCTGGCTGGCTGGCTGGCAGGGTGACTGCTTTTGCTGGATTGGGTCTCAGTTCTGGACTCATTGTATGCAAATGTGCCACGATCAGCGACGAGCCACCACCCGCCCAGGCCAACTGTGCCCGCAACTGCAACTGCAACTGCGACTCCAACTCCGACTGATGCTGCTCCTCTGCTCATGGGTGCCAGAATCGTTTTGTGTGCGAGTACTCGTACTCGTATTCGCAGTCGCATTCGCAGTCGCAGTCGGATTCGTACTCGTATTCGTATTGAGTTTTTTGAGTTGTGCGATTTTTGGCATTTTTGCATTTCCTTTGTCCTAGCACAGGCCTTATGTAAGCTCCTTTAGCAAGGAGCATGGACGAGGATTGTTACATATTTGCGCCAGACCTCAATGTGTATGTTATTAGCCACAGTCCTACAAAAAGCATAAAACCAAAAGCCATTTGGACTTAAGCGAAGCGCACATACCCTAGATAAAAATAATTTATCCAAATTTCCCAAAAATTTGAATTGAATTTGTTTTTCAAAATCAAGAATTATAATTTAATAAGAGGGTCGTAAAAATATGTGGAATTAAGTTTAAGTTTAAGTTTCAAGTCCTAGTAAATTCAATAATATTTCTAGAGAATCTAAAGAGAGATGTAGAGAATCTGAAGTATATTCCGCATATAGAATCCATATTGCGCCCAAGCTGAATGACAAAGTTTTTATGCCACTCCAAGGTTATTCATGAAAGTTAAAAACAAAAACCAAAAAGAATTTTAGAAATAAACGTCGACGACAATGGAAATGCTGCACTCACAAAACACAAAACATTTTAACAGGAACAACATGTAATTTTTGAGCAGCCCCAACTTCAGCCCCAGACTCTCCAGACATGCCGCATACCCCCCACCTCAAAAATACAAAAAAAAAAATAAAAATAAAAAATCAGCCAGCTCAGACTGAGCTAACCATATGCAATGGTTGGCGCGGCCCGTTCGGGGTCACGACACTTTTTGTGGCAAGCACCGAGAATGGCAGGCCAGCGCAGTCAAATAGTGGGAGAAGTATGGCAAAGGCATCAGGGCCTAAGGCTTGTGCTGCTGCTGCTGCTGCGACTGCGACTGCTGCTGTTGCTGTTGCCCCTGTGCCTTATTGTTGTTTGTGCAACATCAGCAACAGTTGGCGCGGCTGGACATTTTGGCCAGGGTCTGACCGATGCAACTGCGACTGCAAACTGCGACTGCCTGGCGTCAAGAGAATGCGTTGCGCTTGTTCCTTGGCTTTGATTTCGTTGCATTGTGGCCATTTCCTAGGAAAAAATGTTACATGAAATTAATAAATAGGCAAATAAATGTTAAACAGCTGCTGTTTTGTACGTGTTCCTCTTGTTGCTGTTGCTGTTGTTGCTGTTGCTGTTGTTGCTGTTGATACTGCTGCGGTTGTTGCTGTTATTGTTGTTGTTGTCATTGCACGCGCACGGTAGCCATTGTGCTGCACACAGGGTGGTGGTGATGTTCCTGTTCCATGGCATTTGCATAACACCAAAGCAAAACAACAAAAACAAAAACAAGCCAAAAATCCAGCACAGGATGTTTCCCAGGCCCTGCCAGCCAACAACAGTTGCTGCTACTTCTGCTGCTGCACTTCCTATCTGCCTGCCGCCTACTAAGCAGACAGCCACAACTCAACTCCCCCCCTTTGATTTGGCCTGTGGCCATGGTAAATCTCGGTGCTCGCTTTGCCACTGCATGCCAAATCCTTTTTATGCAGTTCACAGCAATTGCATTGCCTGCAAAGGGGTCCACGCTAAGCGGCAGCATGGGCCTTGCAACGGAACTAATGCCCCCATATTCTTGGACAATGAAAACTCTATGAACAATATATTCCGCTCCGCCCACACCAAAAGCCAGATGCTACAACTAACTTGACCAAAACCAACGATGGTGCTTGACCAAAAACAACACAGCTATGTCTTGAGCTTCTTCAGATCTTGATTATATATCTAAGAAAATAATTTAATAAGTTAAGCTTAAGTTTAATTATAAATATGATAAATAATTTGAATACTGTTTTAGTTTCAACTAAAATAAATTCATGCAATAATATTGATTTGCAAAGTTTGTTTAAATTTTTGATTTACAGAACCTTTGTATTTTTAAACTCCATTATTTTAAATCGAAAATACTTAAATTGACTGTGAGTTTCAACGAATTTCTCTATATAAACAATATCCCCAGTTATTTGAACGGCGCAGTGTAACTAGCCCAAATATAAATATTTTCAAGCGTTTGACTTTCAAATGGGCCACAAAGAAATTGCCCAGTCAGAGTCAGAGTCAGCATTGGCGCTATATTAATATGTAAGCCGCACAGGGGAGATGAGTGGGGGCAGCTTAAGAAAAACATAATAATTCGTCTATAATTTATACACAATTGTAAATAAAATGTGTACAAGCATAATTTACACATAAACAAGACAACGCGCCACAAAAAGAAAAACCTGCAACATCATCACACGCGGATGGTGCACAGCAAGGGGGGATGTGGTAGGGATGTGTTGCACAACTGAGAAGCAGGCAACGGTGCTGCGATTAGAATGCAGAGCGGCCGGAGTCGAACAGAAGATGGGCCATACTGGGTGACTGAGAAATTGATCAACGCTGTGGCGGGACATAAACTAAAAGCTTATTTAACATTAATTTCACCACGAAAATCACACAGCAATTTTAAACATCAGTTACATGGCGCAGGCAGCGGCAGCGGCAGCAGACTGACGCCGAGCAAGACGCAAGCAGGCATCCAAAGCCCAATGGAAGCTATCGCAACATGCGAAAATGTGCTCAAGAGACGCGCGCCGCTTCTACCCTCGATTTCCCCTCTTTCACACAGGACGTGTAATCTAAGCTGCCATTAAACAAAATACAAGAAAAACTTACGAAAACATATGCTACATATTACCGCCGATCCCAACTGAACTGAACCACAACGAGGATGACAACGGAGGAGGCGAAGCGGAGGCGCGCCGATTCGCCTCGCTCAGTGACGGAAGTAAAGAAGCAGAGGAGCACAGTGGAGTCATTTGGCATATTATATTCCTCGAGTTTTTTTTTATAGATAGATGAGTTTTTTATATTTAACAACAGGTTTTGCAAACCTATATATATAAAAAATATTACGTTCAAAGTCATACATTTTAAATTATTAAAGTAAATTAGTCGGAATCAAATATCTCAGGCCTTAATAAGTATTTGTTTAGCAATATTCCGATGGCATTATGTCCTACCATTATTTTTCTTATTTTTTAATCACTCTGCAAGTATAATAAACAAATGTAATTTTCTTAATTAATTTCACCATTAAATAAACATTAAAAATTAATTTCACAGCTTTGCGGAAATGAAAAAAATACAAATGTTTATATAATTTCTAATGGAATATTTGCAAATAGTTTTGAAAAGTTTAACCCATTGTTTAATGTAGCTGAGTGTCTGGTTG